AATTAACATGTCCTAAACGTTCATGGCAAATATTAGAAGACTCGACCACATAAGCAACTAGGTTTTTATTAATTAAATCTTTAGAATCAGGTACAACTTTGTTTTTCTTCAGGATTGTCATTATATACATTTTGATCAATCCTGACTTAACATAACCTTTTCATATGAAAACACCATTCTTCCTAAGTATCAGCTGGTCAGACTCAAAGTTGATTGCAAAACCATGCTTGCTCATTAGAGTACCAGAGATCAGGTTCTTCCTCATGTCTGGAACATGCTTCACGTTGTTCAGAGTAACCTCCATGCCTGAAGTCATCTTCAACACAACTTTTCCAGTACCTTCAATCTTGGATTGTGAGATGTTTCCCATCTTTAGTTGATCATCAGTCTTGCACTTCTGATAGGTACTGAACATCTCTCTGTCAATACAGATGTGTGTGGTAGCACCTGTGTCATACCACCACGCCTTGGGGTTCTCTTCCACCAACTTAGTCTCTGTAGCCATTGCACACAGGTCTGCTTCAGTCAAGTGAGCTTGGTTGTTCTCAGACTTAGCCTTTCGACGACACTCTGAAGACTTATGTCCAAGCTTGTTGCAGTAGTTGCACTTCCCATTGAACTTGTTCTTCATGTGTGCTTGACCTTGCTTCTTGAAGCTAGTGTTGTTTCGTGGAGGAAACTTGTAAAGCACAGCCTTGTTGGATGGTTTGCCTTTGCCCTTTTTCCTGTACTCAGCCACGTTTGCAACATGGATCATGATCTGAAAATCTTCTTTTCCAACTCTGTCACGTTTTAGTGACTCATTCTGCAATCTGGAGATCAGATTTGCCAGAGACAAGGCCTTTTGCTTGTAATCAAGATAGTTCTAGAAGTCTGCCCAACTTGGAGGTAACTTCTCAATGAAGCAGTTCACCGTGAATGTCTCACATAGCTTCATTCCTTCAGTCCTAATCTCTTGAAAGATTAGTTCCAGCTCGTGCACTTGTGGCATGATGGGACGAGAATCCACCATCTCAAACTTGAGGAGTTTCGCTGTAGCGAATTTCCCAGAGCCGACATTGTACGACTTGTACTTCTTTTCCAAAGCATCCCAGAGTTCTTTGGAAGTTTTGACCTCACTGTACACATCAAACAGCTGGTCCACCATGCGATTCTTGATGTGCCCTTTGCATAGGAAGTCTGAGTGCTTTCATGCTTCAACGGTAGCCAGAATCGTAGCATCTTTGTTTCCTTCTGGCACTGTTGAGGGATCCTCTGTGAGGTACTTGCTCAGCTGCATTGACGAAAGAAAGAAGTGCATCCTTTCTTGCCACTGCTTGAAGTTCGAACCATCGAACTTGTCGGGCTGAAGTCCTGCGGTTACTGACGCTGGCATCCTGACTTCACCCGAGCTTCCATTGGTAGTCATGTCGACATCACCGTTACTCATAGTTGAATCTATTCACAGAAGATAATCAAAGTTAGTATTGAGAACCAAAATTCAAATCAGCGATTAAGACGTTTAAGTCGCTATGAACAGCGTTTTCCAAAAAGGATTCGCTTTAAGTTTCCACAGATACTACCAATTGTTTTAGAAGATTCGTCTTTAACAGATAAAAAGTTCTACGAAATAGTTAAGAAACTTTCGCAGACACTTTGTAGATCGATTTTAAAAACTCGTTTTTTTTTTCAAAACCGTTTATAAAAACTGTTTCGCAATATTCAATCCGATTCAAGCGATAAGCAGGAAGCGGATTTATTGAGTTAAGATTGTATGACCGCGAAAATCTGATTGAAATCACGAATAGAAAATAGCAATATTATAAACGATATGTTAAGGTAAGAGATTAAAACGAGAGTTAGAAAACCGATTGAAAACAGACGAAAACACGGAGTCGGGATATGATCTCTTTCCTTAACTCAATAAATCGCCGGTAATGTGTGACCGTATGGTGCAATTTTTGAATCCCAGGATGCAACCGTGATGAGACTATTACGCAACACCCGTAATAGAATCTGCGAACTGAAATTATACTACGCTATAGCTCTCGAGAAACTGACGATATTAAGATGAGAGGGATTTGCTGGAAAGAATTATTTGCTGTGTGTTTGGTGCATGTATTCAAGAATTCGATGATATAGAATGAGAGAAGAAGGCGTCTATTTATACTGGAAGGTTCAGCTTGATCCGCAAGGAATAAGCTTTGGCGAAAAGGAATATTCACGAAATATTCTCAAAATATTCTCCTTTTTTCGCAAGTAAAAGGATTCGGAAATCTTCCGTTATTATCTGGACGCAATTTTTTATTTCCTAAGATTTTTCCTTTCAATATGCAAAAATTATTTCGCAGGAACTAAGAAGCTCATGACCCACACCCAGCTATATAGAGCCCAAGAGCCCAAGAGTCCTAAAAGCCAACTAAAAATGCAACGAGCAATGAGCAATGAGCAACGAGCAAGAGCACGAGCACGAGCCCGAGCCCGAGCTCGGTACCGGTACCGGCGTACGTAGGTGTTTTTGCATAATGCCATTTTACTTCCACAATGCTGTTGACCCTTATTGTGAGAAGGCCATATATATACAAGAGATTTTTCTCCTTGGTGAGCAATGTGGGACAAATACACTTCCACTAAACTTCCACTTTTAGTTATAGCCAATAGGAACAGTTCATTTCCATAGGCTCAAACCCAAATTTCAAATGAATTTATAAAGCTCATTTACTTATTAAATTTCATTTCTTATTCACACACAAACTTAATATTACAAATCCAAATGTTTATTAATATTAGGTTCCAACAAAATACCTATAAGAGCTGTCCATGGATTTCAAAATCTACCATGGAGGCATGGACTTCAAAATTTTGTTTTATAAAATATGCTTTTATCATTGTATACAAAATTTAATAATATGTGTTTTCTGGTCAGATTCGAATAATCAAACAAACCAACAAAATCATTACCCATACATCATACATGCATATATTTGTACGTCTAGATTTTTACTTGCTGTACGTATAACTCATATACATGTTATGGATATTTAAAAAATCGAGACAGATCTAAATCGGTGTGGACTATGGATCTTCCAAATAATTTGTCCACTCCTACTTCACTTTTGGAATTAGATCGCAAATTATTCGTTAATACTGTAATTGATCCCTTATATTTATATTTAACCTATTGGGTCGTAAGTTTTCTAGTAAGAAAAACTTCAGCAGCCCATCAATATACCCACAGAGCCCATATTCTATGGTTTTATTCTCCCTTTTCTTAGTAAATTGATTTACTACGTGATTACTATTTTATATCAATTTTGTAATTTTGCATAAGGTAAACGTTTAACGATTTCAAAAATTTAAATATTAATTAAATTTATAAAAAAAATAAAGAAAACAAGTCAACTTTTTTATAAACTCATCAAACTCATAAGTACCCAAACACACATAAATTATTCAACGTAACTAAACCCAGGGTAGAAACATAGTTTAGATTTCTATAAATTAAATAAAAAAAACTCAAAACTAAACCCTAAATCTCAAAAAATAATACCCTAGATCCAAAAATATTAAAACTAAAGTTTAAGTCCAAAAACTAAACCATAAATGCTAAACATATACACTAAAATCTAAACCCTCAATCCAAAAACTAAAACGGTAAAACTCGAAGTAGTTAGCTCCTCCTCAAACCAAAATTTTTAACCTCAAAACATTAAAACTGTTTCCTCAGCTTATAAAATATTCACTCTTGATTTAGTTTTAGAAGAAAATTTTCTCAAATTGATCTTTTAATGAAAGCCATCGTATTTCTAATTATACTTTTAATAATCTTATAGGCTGAAACTTTATATTTTCTATTGTTTTGCAAATAAATTGTGTTGTGACCACAATTAATAAGAACAACCCTTGACTAATAGCTAAGGACGTCAAAAGAAAAAATCTAAAAACGACAAATCCTTTCACAATCTTTATGCAATCGTACGGGGAACCAACTCAGGTCACATTAAAGCTTCTATTTTCCCTTTTGACAAAACCCTAAGAAAAAGGATAGTGTTTATGTTATATTACACACCCTCACTACATATATTTCCGGATATAGAGTTTCTTTTAACTTTCACCCACAAACAAAAAAAAAATCTGAATTTTTATCTCCATGTCAAGTAGGAACACTTGGTAACCGTTAAATAAACTGTAAGCCTGCAGATCAAAATTCAAAAAGAAAAGCAGATATTTTTCTCAATAACAAATGGAAAGAAAAGCAGATCTTATTTGAGATCCAGACAAGAATAAATACTGTACATTTCAAGAACATCGCTTTGAATCCTCCTGATTCTTTATCATCAAAATGGAAACAAATCCCTTCACAGGTCGTTTTCTGTTGTTGAATTTTTAGATTTATGGACCAATATTTCTCAATTTTATGGGCCATGTTTATCAGAGGTATATTGTCATTGCCAAGACTACATACGAAGGTACATACTTGTATATGTATACGTACGTAGTAAAAGTAGATTCTAAGATGATACTAAAAGTAGTTTGAGTTTGAGGTTAATTGCCAATATATAAGCTCATTAACCAGTTCCGGATCTAAAACTGGAAACCCTAAGAAAAAAATTGTAAACCCTAGGCTAAAATTAACCTGTAATTGAGAGAGATAGTGAAAAAACGATATTTCTAAGTCAGACGCGAAATCATCTTTTTTCAAGCAGATCTTCAATTAACAGACACAAACTCATGTCTTCATCACTCTATAGCGTTTCTTGTTACACATCTCTCTCATGCATACACCATTAATATCTCTATTGCTTTTTTTGTCTTGGTGTGAGAATTGGACGCCTCTCTCTCTTGTTTCTGGGTTTCTTCTTTTCTCTTTCCTCTCTTTAGCTGATTCTATCTTTTTGATGATGTGAAAGTTGGGGTTAGGTTTCTGAAAGAAAACCCATATGGTTGAATCTTGATGCTTGGTTCTTGATTCTTGATCTTGATATTCTTGATCTTGATTCTTGAAGCTTTTTAGCTCGGTGATGTCTTCTTCCAATAATGATTACAATAATTGTAATAACAGTGGAGTGCACCCACTATCTCTTTATCTAGCTTCACTCTCCGGCCATCAAGGCATCATCCGTAATCCCTACAGTCATCAGCTAACTGCATCTCCGGCCAAAATGGTATCAGCAGTGCCTGAGTCTTTGATCGATTACATGGCGTTTAACTCAAACAATTCTGTGAATCAGCAAAGTTTCGAGATTCCTGAGGTGTCAAGGGAAATCAAGAAGGCGGTGAAGAAGGACCGGCATAGCAAGATTTACACGGCACAAGGGCTTAGAGACAGGAGGGTAAGGCTTTCTATTGGGGTTGCTCGCCAATTCTTCGACCTACAGGATATGTTGGGGTTTGATAAAGCCAGTAAAACATTAGACTGGTTACTCAATAAATCAAGAAAAGCCATCAGAGAGCTTGTCCAAGAAAAAAAGCTCAACAATGATGATAATGATATTGGAAACAATGGAGGTGATCTGGAAGAGGAAGAGGATGTTGATGACGATGATGATGCCAACAAAAGATTTTTGTATGGTTCGAGTCCTGAGTACTGTGAAGAAGACGTGGTATGTGAAGTCAAGAAGGCAGAAAAGAGAAAGAAGAAGAGTGACTCGAGCAACATATCTTCAAAGGGTGCAAGAGCAAAAGATAAGGGAAAAGCAAAGGAGAGAACAAGGCAGATGGCCTATGATCATCCAGAAACCTTCTCAGATATCACACATTCTGAAATCATGGACCCATTCAAGAGGTCTACAATCTTCAATGAAGGAGAAGACATGGCACATCCTTTCTACAAGGAAGCAATGGCAGAGTTTAATAATCAAGAATCTATCTTAACCAAGACGAAGATCAACCTTCCAACGAATATGGATCAAAGTTACAATCAACATTATGGGACATTTCTGTTGAAAGATCAGAGGTCTAGCAGCAGCTATAATACCATTCTGCCTCAAAATTTGGATTTTGATTATGATCAAAGCCCTTTTGTTGATCAACCCTTTTGTGCAGTCACCGACACAAATTTCCCCAGAGGTATAGTTTGGATTCAAGACTCTTTTCTAGCTTAAATTATGATTCATATGTCTTTGCATTCCAAAATATGTTTATTCCTTTTGTTTTAATCTGGCAGGGTTCCCATAAATATTGATACTTTCGGAAGACATGGCATCAAATCTAAAACATGTAAGCCAAAATAATCCTTTAATTATTCCTCTTGAATGTATATTAAAGTTTATATGTGTTATTTTTAACATGTTATTCGCTTTTCTGTGTCATTGATCAAGATTCAGTTTGTCTACCTTGAAATTTCTTAGCTACAATTTTCAAGTGGTATTGTAACCTTTAGAGTATATTGAAGATGAATCAGCAAATGATTTATAGATATTTCGTCATCTTTATTAGTCCAATCAAAGATCCATAATTTCTATTAGGTACTACATTCAATCGTTCTTAAGACGAAACCATTTGCAGTTTAATGTGGTTTCATTTAAAGCTCTATATTAGGTTCGTTTCCTCAAACCCTAATTTCCATTAGGACCCACAAAATTAAACATGCATGACAATAATGAATAGCGAGGATCATATACAAGTATCCACATACACACATGTAATGTTTGATTAATTGCAAATTGAAGTGAAACTGACCGCTAGTGTAAGGACCGTGGAACCGTGCCTTTGGTTATGATTTGGCCATCCAAATATGTGAAGGATAGATCTTAGTTTTGATATAATTGGCGTTTAAGTTTTGGTTTGATATATATATATATATATGCTTTTATAGATAATTAATTGGTTATTAATTAGTGGTGTTTTTAGTGTATATGGCTTTATTGGAAAAAAAGGATTGTTAACTTCTACATTTTCGAGTAAAAATTTCTTAAGGCTTGTTATGTTAAACTCCTTTGACTAAAGATGACAACTAATTTTATGATTTTAGTAGTTACCAAAGGAAAGTTCAATGTTCAGAAGTGATATTTATAGATCTATGTTGCTTATTACTTAAGAATTGTAAACATTTACCACTTTAAGATATTCATTTCTATTTTTTATGTAATTTAGAATATAGTCGGAAAATTTGCAAACGCTATTCAACTCTATAATACAATATCTGTCGACCAAAACTTGTTTTAAAATCAAGATGGCTGATCAGCTATTTGAATGTTTAATATTGTAGCTTTAAAAGAAAGGTTCAAGAGAATGCTGCAATGATTTAATTTTCAATCAATTTTATATATTATTATAATAAGTAATAACTAGCTATGTAAATAAGATATACATAATTACTTGAAAATAATTTTTATGCTAAAAACTGACATGTTTTACCAAAACAAAATCCAATCAAAATGAAACATCATAACTATAGCTTGGCTGATCTCTTATTTGTTTTTTCTTTCATAATTGTCAATTTCTCTAAGTATAGCTCATATTGCTAACTATTATAAAAAATGCATAATGGACCATCCCTTCAAAAGAACGATACATGATGACCTTCACACACACACACACACACACATATATATATATAACGTGATGATTTTCGTCTAACTTTGATAGAAACCCGCTAAATTTGATTTAACTTAAGAAAAACTTTCATAACTTCAATGCTTTAACTGGTCCAATTCCAAAAGAAATTAAATGTGGATATTGCTAAATCTCTACAACTTAGCTATGTGGGTGAACAATCTCACCCGTGGAATCGCCCACGGTATGTGTTGATGGAGGAAATGTGATTGTATTTTTTTTAAAGCATTTTGTCACAGAGAACATAATGCTGTGTCCTGTGTGGAAAAAAATGTCATTTGCAACATATGGATCATTAGAGACTAACCCTTTTAAAAAGTATTCACTATAAATTAAATAGATTAAACGATACGAATTTCATTGAATATATCTTACCTAAAGACTACATTAAAACGGAGTATATTGTGTTTATACGAATCATTCTTAAAAAAAGAAGGAAATGCATGCTCTCTAAAATTCTGAAAACAATATACTAAAACAAAACTTACGCAGCTGAGAGATAGAGATAGAGAGTCAGAGAGATAAAGAGAGAGAGCGAGAGATACCTTTAACAGTTGTTTCTCGTTGATTCAAAACAGAATACAATTCTGAAGCAGAGAAAATAACCTTGTCATATTGAAGACATAGACAGTATAAGCCTTCAAAAGAAAGTTATTAGATATAATATAAGGGAGAAATAGAGTAGAAAGGAAAAGTGAGGAAGACTAGAGTTGGTAATGGGTGTATACGAATTTTCAATCTATTATTTTCTTTGTTAATTTTGAATTCTCGACTTAGGAAGGGAAAAAAAATTGAAAAAACATTTTTTATTTATAAAATGAAATCCGATTTTTCCTTGTGTTTTTTACGCCAGTATTGTTAAAAGTAAAACTTAAAACAGGTTCAAAAAGTTTCTTTAAAACTAAAAAAATACATTTTATGTGAATGTATCCACTAGAAAACGACCAAAACTATACAAACTAGGACTAGAAAACGATCAAAACTATACAAACTAGGATGAGAAAGAGTTCGGATGGATTAGCTTCAGTTTCCTGGTTTACTAAATATAAGTGGAATTTAATTCAGTCTAACTAAGTAAAAAATATTAAAATTTATATATAGTTAAAAACTTGGTTGTAAAAGTATCCAAGTCTAATTATTTTTATATGAATAATAGTCTAAATTTTCGTTATTAACAAATAGTACTCTTAATCTAAATCTCAAAGTCTAAACTTAAAACACTAAATCTAAACCTTAAAGTTTCAAAAATAAACCTTATATCTTATATCCTAAACATCGAAACTTAACATTTTTTCTCCTAAAATCTCAAACTATTTACACAATTAAAAAAAGATTACGGTTTGAATTTTGAGTAATTAAAGTTAGATCCGGTTCTATTTAATTTAGATTCAGTTTAATGTGGCCATCTCTACCGAGAATAATAGATTTTTACTAATCTCGAATTTTGCTTTCTTCAATTTTCGATTTTTCACTTTTGTTGCTTCTCCTTTTTTCACTTCTTCTTCAAAGGAAATGAAAAGTGTAATAGTAATACTGAAAACCTCAAATAAAAAAAAGTGTAATACTGACATATATCTAGAGTTGCCTAGCTGGATTAGTTAAGTACCTATGAACAATCTACAATATTTAATTACCAAATGCCTGGAAACTGATTATCTCAAGATTTTGTAGCAAAGTTAAAGTAACTTTAATTATATTGTTAAAAAATTTCGTTTGTCAGACCATCCTATGAAATAAACTCGCCGAAATAGCTCAATTTAATATTCACACGATATCTTTTCAACATGTCTTTGTGGTACTCTTGATATAGTTTTTTATTACTCTGACCTTGACTGGACTTTAGGTGTCTTCGCTTAGCATAAAGTAATCCTTCTTTTGAGTGTACCAAAACGATGCCATTAATGAATAACCTCATAAGCCAATCTAAAACGGGCCAAAATACTCATCTTGAGCCAATCTAAACAGGCCAAAATATAAATGGGCCTTGCATTTGGGTTTACTCATAACAGCCCAGATTATTAGATTTCGTCTCTTGTTTCTTTCTCAGTCGGATTGCTTTGCTTGCTTGCTCTGAAAGTCGGGCGAGGAAGAGAAACCAGAGCGAAACATAGAAGCGAGGAAGAGAAGAACAACTTAAGAAGAAAAATGGAGTCTCCGAAGAAGATAGCTCACGAGATCGGTGGTGTCAAGAACGACGCTCTTCGATTTGGTCTCCACGGCGTTAAGAGCGATATCGTCGGATCTCACCCACTCGAATCGTCTTACGAATCTGTAAACTATCCCCGATCGAGTTCTTCTTTGTTTATCTGTTTTCTCATGTGATTCTCTGTGTTGGTATTGTTTCTGCTCTCGATTGAATCTGTTTGTTTCTCGGGAAAAGTGTGGTGAGAAGAGAAAAGAGGAACTTGGACATTAGCCTATAAAGTAACTTAAAATGTGTGTTTAATTAGCGAGTTTCTTCTATCGCCTGATTAGTTGGTTACTTCTTCTCTTGATCGCTTTTGGGGTTTAATTCGAGTCACTTGAGTAGTAATTGGGGTTTCAATCTTACCAGTTATCGCAACGGCTGGAGATTAGGGTTAATGATTGATTGATTACCTTGTTTTCGGTTTCAGCAAAAGAAATCGCAAGAGGCCACGAAGAAGACGATCATTGCGCATACCTACGGTGCTGCACTTCCATTGAAGATGGATATGGACAGGCAAATTCTCTCACGGTATGTGTATTGTAATTGCAGTACTGTCACCTAATTTCTATGAATCTAGAAACACTACTTTGTGTTGGAACGCTGCTAGATCAACACCGTCTATATGAACTAGATCAGATTGCTGTTAATAATTTGTAATATAGGAAATTAAGAGTTTGTACATGAAGAGTTTGTTATGGGTGAATCAATGCATTGTGAAGCTAATCTATGCATACACTCAACATCATCTATATGAACTAGATCAGATTGCTGTTTATAATTTGTAATATAGGAAACTAAGAGTTTGTACATGAAGATTTTGTTATGTGTGAACCAATGCATTGTGAAGCTAGTTTATGAACACACTTATAGGCAATATGATAATTGTGTGCATTACTGGTGTCTATGTGTTTACAGTTACTGGTATTGAAGTGCCCTGTCCGTACTCGGCTAAAACTTGAAACAATCTATGTGTGCATTGGGAAGCATAGGGTCTATAGTGTTTGCTTCATGATCTAAAAACGATTTTTGGTTGGCCTGTTCTCATTTTATCCTTTTTCTCTCTGGAATATTCAGGTTTCAGAGACCTCCTGGACCAATTCCATCCTCAATGCTCGGTTTAGAAGTCTACACAGGAGCCGTGGATAGCTTTGGTTTTGAGGATTACTTGAATGGTAATTTTTCCTTACTCTTATGCATGTTTCAATGCTACATTTCACTTCTCTAGATCAGTGGACACCAGTTTGATGGTATCTCAGTATGCACTAGCAGAAAACAATTCGATGAAAAAAATATTCGCAGTTTGATACTTCTGTGATACTTGCAAGAAGCAAAAGATTCGGTATTTTTTTTTTTTTTTGCAATGCTGAAATTTCCTCAAAACAGCATTTTCTTATAGTTCATTTTCTTACGAAGGTCGTCGCTTTTCTGTAAGCATGTTGTTCTTGACACAAACTGGCTAGATTAAGTTATGAAAGGGTGTTATTGGTTTTAAGATTCGTTATCGGTAATCTGAAATTAGATTATTTTCATTTTCTTGTAGATCCTCGTGACTCGGAGACATTCAAGCCGGTAGACTTCCACCACGGGATGGAAGTTCGTCTTGGCATCTCAAAGGGTCCGGTTGCCCCAAGTTTCATGTAATGCCCTCAAAAATGTTGGTTTTTAATTGGTTGTTCACTTGTTCTGTCTTATCAGCTTTTGAATGATATGAATCAAGTGAGATCTTGTACGAATTTATTTCGACGTTAGTGCTCTATTCTCGCTTGACCTAACTCTTTTAAGTTTGAAATCAGATGAGACAGCGATAAAACAGAATGATCACTCGATTCTAGTAAGTTAGGTTTTGTAAAACTGAATTTGCCAGTATAAGGAGATGGAACGTATTAAAGACCTTAAAGAAATATAGGAGATAACAAAAGTTTTCAAATGAAAGAATCATCACCTAGAGCACCGACACTGGTATTAGAAATCGAATAGAAACTGTCTTAACTCTTAACAAGGGCTCGTCAAGGTTTTGCTACCAAAAATTTATGGATTTTACAAACGGGTGTAACTTAATCATTTATAGTGAAAACACATAAAACAACGTTCTTCCTTACTCTGCTATTAAAAGAAAATTGAAATATTTTGAAAAAGTAACTCGTTCCTTTTCGATCGTATTCGAGAGGAGAGAGTGTAACGAAAATGTTTTCTATCATATTCTTTTCATTCATGTTTATTTCACCAATTCTTCTCATGCTTACCATTTAGATCCTAAAGTAATTGTATTGAGAAGAAATCAATAGTCAAAACCATGGGAATTAAGAGATATGAAGAGGAAATTGTTTTTTCGTTTACCATTTGGAGTTAGTTGAATAACAATGACTTTTATGAGAATAAACTTGAGACATTGAACAGAAAACAATTTTTTTTTCTGTTGATCCTAGAGATCACTAAATACGTTTAACAGATGATGAGAATAATAAAAGTGATTTAGCTCGGGGAGGAAGAGAAAGGATCAGCTCAGAGCCGTAAGAGGTGTTTGTAAAGAGAGAATAATTAGCGTCTCGAACTAAATCTGGAAAGTGTCCAGTTCGGTGCTCTTAATATTGTTACAGCGAGCTTGGTAGAGAGACAAGTGCATTAAAGTAGAGAGAGAGTAATAAAATTTCGGATCCCCTCATAAATGATCTATGAGGAGTATTTATAGCGGGAGTTAGGAGACGAGTTTCCTCCGAATCGGGACGACGTGGCAGCTCCAACGCATCTCGCGGGTATGGCGTCTCGAGCCGCGCGTCCAAACCACTCTGCGGCGAGTGATGATGGTCCTTCGCCGAGCTACTCACGTGCGTAGGCAACTGTAGACGAACTGCCCTTACACGTGTCAGGTTCTGCTCGGCTCCGCGCACTGTAGATCGGCGTCGCAATGATGACGATTTGGGCGGGGCCATGCTGACTGGACTCGTTGACTTTGGCTGGATTTCTGTTTGACTCTGTCCATGGGCCTTATTATCCAAGATGGGCCTAGCTAATTGGGGGTGCTAAGCCCACCTCCAACAATAAGCCCCCCCCAGTTCGGTGGATGAGAGACTGTCGAATGCGCCGAAGTCGTGGTTCTGATTAGCTCGGCCCGTCGCATGTCGGCGTCGTATTTGTGATTTAGGGCAAACTCCTTCGTGTTTTGGCATAGGCGGGAAATGAACCAGGATTTCCCGCCGAAAAACCTCGAGACTCCCGCGCGTGATTGGCACGCGGGGACACGAAGGGACGTTCCTTGTTGCTTTTTGTTTTTGCGCGTCTCGAGGACGGTACCGAAGCGGCGTCATCATTAGAGTTTTGCCAAGTGTCGATCGCTCTCCTCTTGAGTGGTTATTTGTCCTTCTTCTATTTAAACTCCCTTCTTCTTCTTTCTTCTCACTTTTGCTTTCGCGAATATTTCTGGGAAATTTTTTCTTCTTCGCTCCTTTGATTTCATTCCTCTTCTTCTTCTCTTTCCGTTTTCGATTCTTTGCATTCCGTGATGGCGGACATCTTTGATAGGATTTCGGCTGAGTCTCAGACCGAATCTGGGTCTCGAGAGGAGCGTGACGAGATGCTCCTGGAAAGCTCTTCGCCGGCACCGAGTTCTCAGCATACGGACTCTCCTTCTCGCGAGGAAGATGAGGGGGATGATCTTCCGATCATCAACCGGGTTAAAGAGAAGGCGCCCCAGACCGGGCCATCGAGAGGCGGTGGTCAGCGGCGAGGTGAGTGCGGCGGTCGAGGCGGTGATCTGAATTCGCGACCTCGGAAATCCAAAGTTTCAAAAACTCCACGGATTCCTTATGCGGACGGGGGATCGACGACCTGGAGTAATTCAGAGTCCGTATCGGCGATGATTTCTGGATGCGGGTTTCCTTCAGATGTCGAGATCCGGATTCCCGCCAAGGATGATCGTCCTTGGTATCCTCCGAGCGGGTTCGTATGTCTGTGTGAGGTTTATTTCACGAAGTGCGGGCTGTGCTTTCCTCTTCCCGATCTGTTTGTCTCGTACTGCCGGAGGAGGGATTTGGCGTTCTCGAAAATCTGTCCAACGATGGTGCAGAATATGGTTGTGTTGGTGACTCTTGGTTCGGAGGCCAGCGTCGACGTGACGCTCGATGTTTTTGAGGATCTCACCAATCACAAGAACAACCCTGCTATCTTGGGTTCTTACTATGCTTCCTTCAGGCCGGGGTTGAATATCACTTCGGAGAAGCCGAGCAAGGTTGGCGATTGGGAACGCAGTTACTTTTATGTGTGGGCTAATGAAGCTGCTAGTCTCGTTCCAGGTTGCAACTACCGAGCTGACTGGAATTTTTCTCCTGGTAAGGCTTCCGAAGTGAATATTGTTGATTTGGACTGGCGCCTTCTGTTTTTTTTTATTTGTTTTGTTTTATTTATTTATTCCCTTTTTTTTTTTAGTTTCGCACCGAGATGGAGTCAAAGTAGGGGACTACGAGCCGCTCCTTGATAAGCTTAGGTCGGTGGAGAGACACAGGTGGGCGGATTTTTCTGCTGACCGGGTGGCGGTGGCGTTTTCGACGATGGCGTCGGGTAAAGGCCTAACCCTTTCCCCCCTTTTTTTGTTTTTTTTAATGGGAGTATGTTGCAGGCCGCCCACGGCATTTCGCTTCAGCCGGTGCCACTTCGTCGAGGGCACCGCCGAGGCCGGTTGATCCACCGGCATCGGGTGAGACACGGTCGAGGCAGGGCGCAGGGACCGCTCCGTCTTCAGCTCGGACGAGGCCGCTCGTGCCACCAACAGCATCTGTTAGAAAATCAAAGTCGGGCGCTGTGACGGGGGCGTCCTCATCTGGGCTGAGACCGGGCACCGCGGCAAGGTCGTCCGTTCCGACCCCAAGGTCGACGCCGGTTCCGTCAGCTCTGCTGTCGGTTCCATTGTCTACTCCAACTCCAATGTCTCCGACGTCGACCCCTGCTCTGAGGCCTGGTGAGTAAACGATAAATGTAAATTACGAGTCCACTGTTCTGTTGTTGTGGGGACTGATGCTTTATTCTCAGGTCGCTCCCGTTTTGTTATCCCTTCGTACGCGGCTACTCTTCTTCCCACGCCGGCTGTCCCGAACTTTGGTGCTACCGTTGATGAGGAGGCTGAGAACGTTCCCGCACTGAGTAGGAGGACAGCTGCTGAGAGGGAAAGGGAAGATGGTGTCGCTTCGGACGCGGCATCGAAAAGACGGAGGACGGGGGAGGCGGAAGACGCGACGTCCGAGCAGGGGCCGATGCATCCTGGTGAACAGGAAGGCGGGGTCCCCGAATCTCAAGGAGATCAGGCTCAGAAGAATAGACATGAGGGCGTCGAGGGAAACGTGGCGGCCGAGCTCGCGGGGACTCGTCCTGAAGATCGTGAGGGCGGTGTCGATGGTGCATAGGTAGATGATCTGCCTGGGAGCCAAGGAGGTTGGGACGATGTTTGTCCCGAGAGCGGAAATGGAGACGACCTGCCTGGCGGAGTCAAGGTGAAATTGTTTCTCAACACCATGAGGGTGGGGAGGGCGAAGGGCAGGGGGGCGAAGGGGCAACCGAGACGTGGGCACCCGGGATGCCTACCAATGAGCCAGATCAAGCGAAGAATCACCGTTTTGACTTTAGCTACCGCGAGGCAGGTCGGAGCATCCACTGTGATAGACGTCAGTGCGCTGAATTTATTCATGCGGCGTCACACGGGAGGCAGGAACCCTACCGCTCCGTTGAGGATTTGGCAGTGACCGCGAACTTCCAGATAGCTTCGCGGGATCTGATTCGGGTAAGTCTGGGAGTTTGCGGGCTGTACTTGTTGTGCTGTTCCAGATGACTGAATATGTATTTTGTGCTGGCCGGGGCGTGTTTGACCGCCATATGCGAGAGCTAGAGAAGCAGCTCGACGATTCTTGATAAGAGATCGACAGGTCGGCGGGTCAAGTGATGGCTCTCGAGCAGGAGCAGGCCCTGGCGGGGGAGAGGATTCGGGGGCTAGAGCGGGAGCTTGCAGAAGAGAGAGCACACTCCGCCGCGCTAAGGGAGACCTCGACAGAGGTGGAGAGGCTCCGAGCCGATCTGGAGCAGGAGAAAGCGAAATCGAGGGGTTGGAAGAGCAGATCTCTATCGCGTCCGAGGCGGCGAGGGAGGCGACCGTCGAACGGGATACGCTGCGGTCCGATCTCGATGCGGAGAGGGTGAAGTCCGCCGATCTTGAGGCGCGGGTGGCCAGCTCGTCAGATGTGATCGGGATACTCTCCTCGGAGCGGGATCACCATAAGGCTGAGTCCCTGCGGGTATTGGATATGTACCTCCGGTTGCAATAAAAGATCAAGGCTGCCCAGGATCATCTCGCCAAGGAGAACGCGCGTATCGCGACTGCGCAAGCGGAAAGGAAGCGTAGGTGGCATGCGAAGATGATCAAGATCCGAGCTCATTTGGCTGGTCGGGAGAAGGAGTCGCCGGTACAGCTTGTTATGAGCCAGGTGGTGGGGACGCATGAGTGTCTCATGAGGTTGAAAGATGCATATGGCTTGACACCTCCTCCGGAAGTCTTAGAGAAGCTGAAAAGCGACGAGGCCGACTTCAGAGCCCAGCTCGAGAAGATCGACTATCCCGATCTTACTCTGGACGATCTCTGTCTCCCAAGCGATGCCCCTCTGGTGATCCGTGCTGAAGCTGCTCTGCCCGTAGATGTGGTAGAGAGGACCGGGACTGGTCAGACGTCAGTTGCTCCTGAGACGGTGCCTAGTTCGTCTTTGGTGCCTGGTGGAGGCGGGGTTCCTCCCGTGCCGCACTCCGTGAACCTTGATCCGTCCTCAGG